ACCCTGCTTCCTCAATAACCCAGGCATTCCCCTAGAGCTTTCAGTACCAATCATGGGCTGCCTACAGCCTAATGCTGTTCTCCCTCAGTGTTTAGTGTTTTCCCTACTGAACAGCAGCAGTCTTGGCAGTCCTGGGGTAATGCTTGGACTTGTTGACCTTAAAGGTCTTTTCCAACCTATGTGATTCTATGATTCCTCAGTAATAGAAGGAGATCCCTGGCAAAGGGCTGTCCAATAGAAGACTACATGCTGTATTCACGGTGTATTTACCTTGCACGAGAATAAGCAGTGGCTTTTTATTCAGTTAGTACATCACACGGCTTCAGTCAGTTGCTAAAGGCTGTTTCTTGAAACACCAGCTTCCTGATACCTGCTGTGCAGATCTTGGCTCCCTGCAATCATAGAAATGTAGAAAGTTACACTGAAAAGGTAAAAGCCATATGCTTCCTTGGAACATTTGCATGACCAGGCTTCACCTTCAGATGACAGAGAAGGCAGGTCTTCTCATGCATCCTACTTGACACCAGTCAGCTTCAGCCCAGCAGAGGTTTTAGAACTGGCCCTGACCCAAGCAGGGCAGTCAGCCAGAGCCATCGCAGCACAAGCAGGCTCTACTGTAGAATAGGAACAACCAAGCACATTGCCTGAGCGTGATGCTATAGAAGCAACTAAACTCTCAGTCTCTGGCATGAAAAGTGCTTTTCAGACTGCCTCTATGGCAATAGGCAGCTAGATACCTCCTTCACAGGCAGGTAGCTGAGGTGAACCCATAGCAGATACAAGGCAATGCTGGACACTTGGTATCTGCCATCTTTCACTGCAACACTCAGGCAGCTACTTGCAAGTATCCCCCTTCATCTCCAGACTTCAAGTTTTGTCCTTTTTTTTTTTTTTTTTATGATAAACTCCTACCACACTGACAAGAACATTATTAAGATCCAGGTCATCCCAGAAGGGACAGGGAGGCAAGAGGATTTCATAAAGCTAATCCAAATTTACCAGTAAGCTGTAACCTGCACAGCTAGAGGGCAACGATTGCTGTCCCACAAGCATGCCACCATGTACATGTATGCATTAAACATCTACAGCTGACAGAGGCTCTGCTGGGAGATCAGACACCATTTGTGACACTTTCTCAGCTAATGGTCCCTGTCACCCCGTAAGAATTTACAGCTTAGTGCCACCTTCCAGCTTCCTGTAAGTACAGTTTACAGAGGACATCTTTCCATGCCTGCCACAACACCATCATCTGGAAAGAAGCCACAAACTTTGATGTCAACCGGCCTGCACTGCAGACATCTCAGGCAAAGCATGCACTAGTTTGAACGCAAACCCAGATTGCCAAAACCTGTCTTGGCATCCCCAAACCACTTCTGCCTCAAGCAACTTCCTGTTGGAATGCAAGTGTGCTGGTTTTGGCTGTAATGGAGTTAATTTTCTTCACAGTAGCTGGTATGGGGACTATGCTTTGAATTTGTGCTAGAAACAGTGTTGATAATGCAGAGATGTTTTAGTTACTGCTGAGTAGTGCTTACACACAGTCAAGGCCTCTTCTTCTCACACCATCCAACTGCAAATAAGTGAGGGGTGCACAAGAAACTGGGAGGGGACATGGACAGGACAGCTGACCCCAACTGACCAAAGCGATATCCCAGACCATATGGTGTCATGGTCAGTACGTAGAACTGGGGAAAGTGACTCCTGGCCCTAGGTAATCAAAAGGAAACTCTCCCAACAAAATATATATAGTGGAGTGGAAACAGAAGAGACTCAAAACAATTACGTTCTCCAATTCATCACACAAACGTAGAGAAATACTTTAAACTTACTGCAAAATAGGACTCATGCTTATTTTACAGGGTAAACAGTGCTGGAAACAGGGCTGTAAGGTTTACATTTGATACCCTTGCCTCAACAATAGTGTCTGCATACATGCAAGGTCCAAGAAAAGAACTGCCATAGCTCAAACATTTTGGCCCACAGGACAGACGTAATTAAAAAGGCTCGCTCTTTATTTTAAACATAAAAAGAAACGTTTTACACAGCATTGTTAGAAATATTCAGTACTTGCATTCCAGATTTGTGCCAAACACTTTATTTTATAACTTTGAAATTAAAATGAAAGAAAGAAAATATCTTGCCCTTCTGCTATATGATGTTCAAGCTTGTCCTGGATCAAAATTCCAAGTGCCTGGAGGAATTTACCAGCTTAACCAGAAGATGTGGCAATGTGAACAGAGGAAGACATGAGCCCTTAGGATACTTTGACAATACCACAGGTTGCATCAGGAGAATATGGATGCTTGCACTGCATCTCAGGCAGCTTACTCTTCTGATATTCTGCAGGTTTAATACACCACCAGATGCACACACACCTCCACTCACACAAACCATGGTCACACAGGAAATAATAATAATAAAAACATGAAAAGTGACATAGATTTTTTTTTCATTAGAGGTAAGATTTCCACTCTATTTAAAAAAGGGGGATAATACAAAATTGGCACAAGTAGAAGGAAACCTGGTGTGGGTAAGTCTACTCCTCAGCTTCTAGCCTTCCAACTACAGCAAACGCAGGGTGGAAGGGGATGCAACATTGCCTTCCAAAAGGCTGGCAGCAGTATGAGCTAGCAGCAAACTTGCTTCACTTGGAATGACAATGATGGTTTGTTACAGGCCATGAAGGAAGGTCAGCATTAGCTAAGGACATTGGGACCTTTCACTAGAGGAGCAGGGAGCCCTGACCAAAATAACCCTGAGTTTTTTCCAGCAGGGAGAAAGTGTCCTATGTTGTGTGCTTGGGAAGAGCTGGCAGTTCCCTGCTCATTCATTCCCTAATTATTGCATTATAGTCATGATCCTCTCTCCCTAAAACTTAACCAAGAGCACATAAACAAGGAGTCAGAAAGCAACAGACAGCTGTGCTTCGAACTTCACCACTGCTACATCCCTCCCAAGATGCCCCAATGCCACAGGCCTTCTGTGAAGAAAGCAGTTTTGAATGCAAGAAGGAAAAAGCAAGATTTCACTATAGGAGACAAACAGGAGATGAAAAAAATCTTTCTGTCTATGCAATATCCAAGTGAATCCCTTCTTCAACTCCCTTCCTTTGGAAAGCATTGCTACAGATTTCTGGGTCTTTGCATCAAAAGCTAGATACTGGTTCTGCCCTGCTCCTCAGCAAAGGCAGCTACGTCTGCCTCCAGCATAGGCCTTTTCAGAGCTCTTTCAGAAAGCAAAACATCAGGTGAGAAAGAAAAGTTGCTATGAATGTTCAGGCAAAAGTCTCTCGGAGATTGATAGACTTTGGTTGTCCCGGTTTTGGGATACTACATCAAGTGTCTTTAAAGAGTCAAATGACAAGATGCAAGCCCCAACTCTGCAAATCTAGTCTATTTTGAAGATACCTCATGTCCAGCTTCCAAAAATCACTGGACACATCTACGCATACATATGTGTACATATGTGACAGAACGCATGTTTGCATACAGGAAGCAGAACAGCCTTCTAGACAAAAGCCTCATGTCAATGTCAGAACAAAGGTCACAATGCAAGATGGGGGGAAAAAAAAAAAAAAACACAAAACCAACCCAAAATACACACAAAGCTTACTGCAAAAACTCCAGTTTTGGAATAGCTATTGTGTTGACTGCAAGGTCCCACAAACACTGACGTGAAATGAAGCCTTGACAGCACAAATAATAACCCTCCAACTCCCCTGGAATATACAGTGAGATAAGCTATTAGTGAAGCAGATTGTCTAATACATAACTAAAGCCTAGACTGGCAACAGCACACCACAGACACTATTTTCCATGGATGCTCTCCTTCAGCATCTTTTATCTTAAATAAAAACAAAATAATCTTGGAATGATTGAGCCCTGGCCTCAGCTCTACATTTCTGACCCTTCTTGATGCAAGCCAAGCCCTGGCTGGGACATCAGACTGCAGTGCAGTCCTACTGTTTACATAAAGTATCGTTATTCTGACTTCTATTGCTTGTAACACCAGCTGTGCTGGGAAGACAGAACTGCCCTGAAAAGGAGCTGCTCCTACTCAGGAGCCAAGTCAGTATGCGTGGAAGACCAAAGGACTTTTATACTATAGCACCTAGGAATGTCTCAAACCCACAGGGAAAGCCCTGCTGCAGGCTTGTGCAGAAAATGAGGACCATTGGAAGCTGAGGGATTCTTGCTGCCCTCTTGGGCTTGCTCCTATTCCAACCCTGAGCTGCACTTCAGCTACTGCAGGTCTCAGATTCTGCCCACAGGTTCAAGTGTTACCATTGAGTGACTGGAAGAAGCAGCACTGGAGTCTGGTCTGTGCATCTGGTAACACACAGTTTACAGGTCTTCTCTAATCATTATCAGTGGATCAACTGCAGACAAAGATCCACCTCTTTCCTCCTCCCCCGTCAGTCACACCATCACTAGGGGCAAGGTCTTCCAGCTCTCCACCAAGGCCAACAGAAGGCTAGGCCTTGTTTCTAGACACCACATGCCCCTCTACACAAACAGAACAGGGTCTCAGGCACAAGATGAGCAGCTGTAATGGGAAGAAAAAAAGGTGAAAAGGTGTGCAAGAAGGTGGCCATAAGCAGACATCCAACAAATCCTTGTCTCAGGACTGACTTTTCAGGGTTGCCAAGTTAGCCCCTATTCACTGCCAAGAGCTTTAAGCACTGAAAATAAAAGAAAAAGTTAAAAAAAGAAGTGTCCCAAAGATCTCCAGGCCTGTTACGTTGCAAACCCTTTAAAGCCAGGGTAGAGAAGGCATGCAGACAACCAGAAAACCAATTCTTTGCTGGAACAGCCTCACAACAAACTAGTAGAGGAACCTTCTCCAGCCTTCAACCCAGCACAGAGAAGTCTGTGAGATACCAAGGTGGACAGAGGAAGGGAACAGGATGGTGTGATGGGGGTGGAAGGGAAAAGTAGATTGGTTAATACAATGAAAATTTGACATTTTACCAGCCCTTTTCCCACTCATCACCCTGACCATCACGTTTTCATACATCTATTCAAAACCAAGAGGAGAGAAAAAAATCCACCAATCAAACAGAAAAACCTTAGTGAATTTTGTCACAGGGCCCTGCTGAAAGAAGACTTAACAGTTTGCACATTAGAAGGACATGATCCCTGTGCAGAATGTGCTGCTGGAAAAGGAGAATTCCAAGTTGCTAAATATGGCCTGAATGCTCTCAGGGCATGATGTGTAACAAGGAGAAGCTTGAGGTCCAAGCTGCAATCAGAGAGGAAATGCACTGTCTTCTCTGGGCCTGCGAGCAAGTGTCTCAGCACAGTCCAAGAGCCCTTTGAGTCTCTCCCAAAATACAAGTGTATCTGGCTCCATGTTTAGTCCATCTCCATTGACATTAGCCGGCGACGCTCTCGTCTTGTTTCCTGTACTTCCTTCTTGCAGCACCAACGGGAGCTGCAGTAGCCAATGAGGCAGGATAAGAGTCCAATGACAGCGGCCAGACCAATGCCAATCAACAGGGGATACTTGAAAGCATTCAAAACTGAAAGAGGAAGGCAACATCATTAGATATCACTGAGCAATTCAGAGATTTCTGTTCTTCCTTAAAACAAAAAATAAATAAATAAATCCCACAGTATTTACTTACGGGCACATTAACTATCTCAGAAAGAAATTACACCTATTTTCTTTTGAGGTTCAAAAATTAGTTTTATTGGACTCCCTTACTTCCTCACCCTCATTCTTCCTCTACCACTTCTTCCTCTGTCCTTTCAAAGCCTCAGGGAGGCTGGAAGCATGAGAGGAGCCTTGGAGTGAGATAGCAAAGCAAAGCTAGTTCTAAGGGGTATCCCATCACCTCTTCCTCCAAACAAAAGTTTTGTAAGTTTCCCTCATCAGAGGCAGACTGTGGCTGCATTCTTTGTAGTTTGTTTCCAAATGACAAGGAGGACTCCTTTATGCTTTGCTTGATGAGAACTACTTGTACAGTATACTCGCTGCCACTTACAACCCTGTCTAATCAACCTCCAAGGTGGCACCTAAACACAAAATTTGATTTGTAAGCACCTACTGCTCAGACAAAGGCAGGGTCAAGAGCTGTAAGGAGTTTGGAAAGTACAGCTAAGCTATCTACATAATAGGGAGAACAAAACTTTTGATTCCTTTCAAGTTCATGGAACTTCCCAATATGACATTTCACAAAAATATTGAGAAGAAAGCAACTAGTTCAAAACCCCTCCTACATTCATTTTCCTTAGCTACATGCTGAATGCAGCATCTAGCATGCAACTTGCTTCTTGTGAAGTCCAGCAACTCTTGCAACTCAGGCTAGAAAGCAGACAAGGCATTAAGTGCAGGGAGCAACATGTCTTGTGGTTAGGAGAGGGAGGAAGGAGTGAGAGCTCCGACTTTCTCTTCTCAGCTTTGACATTAACCACAACACAACTACTTCAGCACACCCCATCTGCAAACCTAGGCTTCCTCATGCAGGCAGCCAAATGGTTAACATTTGAAGAGGATCCTATGCCTTGATTAAAAGATGCCCCAGCTATGCAAAACATCACCAGGAAATGATCAGGAAAGAAAACACTTCAGTCTTACGACTGTGACCTGTTCAGGCCTACCTAGTCCACGGAATCTGGAATCAGAAGTTGCAAATAGAAAAGGGTAACAAAATCTGAGATTACCATAGGGACCTTTAAAAATAGTCATAGGAAATATTTTTCAGAGAAAGGCATAAGATGTTAAAAGAGATTGTGTAAGACATATTGCAATCTCTTACCATCCATTTTCACAGATAGAAAAATGGGTTTGGCTTTGATGTCAGGTTCCCGCTGCCATACACCAGTGGCAGATCGCACCCATGGAGTCACTATGCAGTAGTGGTTCCCAAAGTCATGGTCCTCACAGCCATGCACACGGAGACGGAATTCCAATGGGCTGATTCTCTCCAGGCTGAGATCACTGCTCCCATTCCTCCTGCTCTGTGTCACAATCCCTCTCCGGTCCAGTGAGGCCAGCAGGACGGGCTCTCTGTCCAACGCAAAGGAGCGCACGGCAAACCAGGAGACATCAAAGGACATATCATCTGTGTTTGAGGACAAAGAAGAATTTAGACATGGTGGTGAGCTCTGAAAAATGTTCATAGTGTCATTCTCAGCAGAAAGATTAACCTGCAAGCATCACAGCCAACACTGGTCTGACAGTGGAAGAAAGAAAAAAAAAGAAGAAAAAGAGAGTGCTCTGAACATGTCCTTTCTAGGAGGATTCAAGTACTGAATTGTAATGAAATGCACCGGCAGGAAGGACGCAGTTGCACAGAAAGGGTGACTTAATACAGGGACAACAAAGAGGAGATTTCTTCCTTTCCTACTTGCTATCCTAAAACTTATGTTTAATCTCTAAGTTTTCACCAAGCAGGCATAGTGTCATAAGCAGTTTTAGAACTATGCTGAACCTACAGTGAAATGGGAGTGGAAATCCTAGGTATTTACTATTAGAAAGTGAATTGCAATCACTATCTTCATACAGGGCCTATACAACCAAAACGTCAGAAGGCTCTTTGCTGAAGGCCCCTTCATTACATTTAGTCTGCCTAAATGAATACAGAGATTCTATACAGAGCACAAAAAATTACTTACAAAAACACAAAGCATTCAGGAGGAAGGCCTGACCACAATGCTTTTATAAAGTTTTTTCCAGAGTTGTGGGTTACTGTCACACACCATCAGTCATTATGCCTTGTACAATTTTTACCACCCAAGGAGATAACCTACAAAACGCATTTGCAACACCTTCCACGTTTAACAAAGCTGACAGGTAGTCAGAGTTCATCAGCACGTCTAGGTCTTCCAACATCCATACAGATCCTATTGACCCCTTTAGCAGACCTCAGTCCTAACCCTATTAGGCTGATGTAGCAGAGTACTTACTTTAAAAGCCAGTGCTATTCTTTGCTAACGTGAGCCTAGCAACATGTGTCAAGAGTCTAAATCCTGGCATAACTTAGGTCATAGACAGGAGAGCCTGCTTACTCTTTTAATCAACAAGTCTTCTTTCCTGATACATTAGCAAACTCTAGGGCCCAAACTGGAAACAGAGGTTACTATTTCTATCCTGAGGTTTGGGTACTGACAAAATGTGTGCACAGGGCTTGACC